AGAAAGAAAGAAAGAAAGAAAGAAAGAAAGAAAGAAAGAAAGAAAGAAAGAAAGAAAGAAAGAAAGAAAGAAAGAAAGAAAGAAAGAAAGACATCTATCTGGCTAGAAGAAAATGGTTTGGGTGGATTTATATCACCTCACTTGATTAGGACTAAAGGACAGAGGACTCCAAACATCTTACCTCCTCCAAACACTCAGGTGATGCCTCTGCCCTACAGGATTGAAGATGGCTTGGCAGCCTTTCCAACCCCCACACCTCCTCTTGCCAAAGGAAATAATCTAAGTCTCTGCATTGCTTCAAGATGTGAAAAACATGCTTTTTGGCTACACCTTGCCGTGGATGGGGCAGTATCACAAGGCAGCAGGTCATTTCCTTTTGAGTACTGATATAGAGACAGGATGACTCTGCCTCAGTGTTGTGGTTTGAATCTGAAATGTCCTCCATAGGTTCAAGTGGAAGGTGATGGAAACTTAGGAGACAGAGCCTCACTGGAGGAAATGGGTGGTGGAGGAGGGGCATGTAGCCCAACCCCACTTCCTGTTCTCCCTCAGCTCTCTGACTGCAAAAACAACTAACAAGCCGCCTCCTGCTCCACCTACCAGGCCTGCCCTGCCTTGATAGACTGTGTCTCCTCAAACTGCGAGCCAGAACAAACCCTTCCTCCCTGAAGCTGCCTTTTGTCCAGTGTTTTCTCACAGCAACAAAAAGAAAGTGAACTAATACCATTGTGTTTGTGTGCACAGACACCACTTCCTGCCAAGCACACACCATGAGACACTAGCAGATAAGTAACTTATTCCTACGAGTGAAAAAAATATCACCTGTCAATTTGTCAGAGTCATTTGGGAACTCGTTGGTGCATGGATGTTTTCAGACCACATCATAAAATCCAGACCCATGAACTGACTGAACCACCACCAGCCCAACAAAGAGCCAAACATCCCCAGCTAAGCCTAGCACTGTGGTAGGTTGGCTTTACCTACCTGTCATCTGTTCACCCTGCGTACATGTCAAAGGACCAACACACAGAGAACTCCCAGCTATCCCGAGGGCTTCAGCTCAGCAGTCCCCAACAGGTGACATGACCCACTCAGATTGCTGTCCATCTGTCCATCCAAATCTAGTACCTCGCCCCCACAGTCCTATACCTTGGAGGTTCAGCTCTGTGGCTGTGCCTGCCTTCGGTCAGTCTCCAAAGAAATGTATCTGTTTTTCACCTACACACCTACATCAGCTCTGTCTCTGCCTTCAGCGAAACCTCCCTGAGTTACAGCCTCTGTAACCTTTTTACGACAATTCTGCAACACTTCCCTCAACAGTGCTAAGAGTTAATAAAAAGAGAACCTGTGATCGCCACGGCCATGCAGTGGTTCTCAACCTTCCTAATGCTGCGACTCTTTAATACAGTTCTTCAGGTTGTGGTGACCCTCAACCCTAAAATTATTTCATTGCTATTTCATAACTGTAATTTTGCTACTGTTATGAATCATAATATAAATATCTGATAAGCAAGCCAATGAGTCACAACCCACAGGTTGAGAACCATTGTTATAAAAAGCTGTCACGACTACTTTATAGACTACAGCCAATCAAAACAATAACTCTCACAAGTTTGTTGTTATTCACTAAGTTCTGACATGGTAAAAGACACAAACACGTCCATCTATGTCTGGCATCGTCTGCTCATGACAGACATAATTCTTTAGTTTTATCTTCTAATAGCAAAATAAAAAGAAAGACACAACCCACAAAAGGCCAAGGCCCAGCCTTGTTGTCAGTGATTTGTTTGTCTTTCTGATAGTTTAAACTGTGTAATAAATGTGATGTTATTAAAAATGATATAATAGACATAAATAGAACAAAACCAAATGGAAAGATTAGTTACTTCGTACAAATGAACTATTCTAAAGCACCAGATAACATGGAAAGAATGTATTTCATGTTTGAAAATAAAACTCAAATGATAATCCATTTTTCAGAATTTCTCAGCTAAAAAAGAGCTCTTCGCCCACGAGCAGGAGAACTGCCCCGCCCCTTGCTGCAGGCTGCATTGGGTGAGCTAGCCTAGGCAGTGCTGGAGAGCTCGCCCAGGTGTTCACGATGAGGGAAAGCTGGTGGGCTGACCAACCCAGCCACCAGCCAGGCCCAGAATCAGGGCTATGAGTTGGCCTACCCCAGCGTTCACCAAATCTATAGACTGTTGGAGCATGTGAAGGGGATGAACCTAAGATCCAAAACAGCAGGAATCTCCATGACACAGGACAAGAGGATGTCCAAGAGGAGCCCCAGAAAGAGCCCAATTATCAGTGGTGTAGCAGAAGCCAGAGTCCTTGAGTCAGACCATTGACTCTTGGTAATGAACGCTTACAAGTAAAGATGAATGGACTAAAGGGTAAATGTGTGACTCAACGGGCCACGCTACAGCTTCCACATGAGATTCTTCTTTGTTTGTTTGTTTGTTTTACTTTTGTTTTTGTTTTGTTTCTTTGGTTTTGGTTTTTCATTTAAATTTGGTTTTGATTTTGGAGGGAAGTTGCAAGGGCAGAGGGCAAATGCGAGGAGACGGGGAGGGGAAATGAGTGGGATCAGAAGGCATAATGTGAACTCGACAAAGAATCAATAAAAGTTAAGAAAAAAAAAACTTCCCAAGTGCAGACGCCTTTGGTTTCTATAGTCTGTGTGGAGGCCAAAGGCTCTTCCTGTTCTCCAGCGCCCCCTTGTGACCATGTAGTTAAATGTCGTCCATAGTCTACAGTATTCATACACAGTAAACATTTTGCTTGCTTTTTTAAAAAGATTTATTCATTTTTATTTTATGGAACTTTACTTTCATGTCCGTCTGTGCACCACGTACATGCCTGGTACCTGTGTGGGCCACAGGAAGGCTTTGGATCCCGTGGAACTGGAGTTACAGGTGGTTGTGAGCCATCATGTGGGGGCTGAGAATGGATCCGGGGTTTTCTGGAAGAGCAGCCAGAGCTCTCAACTGCTGAGCCGTCTCTCCAGCTCCTGCTTGTGTTTTGAGACAAACCTCACTCTGTAGACCCTGCTGGCTAGAAATAAGAGGAGTCCTCCTGCCTCGGTGTCCCAGATACTCGATTGCAGGCATAAGCCTCCACTCCTAACGCTTCAATTAATGCTTGAGCAAATTACTACAAGCAACAGTGATCCAAATAGCCTAATGACAAAACATCCTATCTGGTTTCTAGAGGCACACCTTGACTCCATATACAGACAGTGCCATCCACTGCTTACTAGACACTCGCCACAGTTGAAAACACTTTCCTTCAAGTCTCCCTGTGTATCAGTAAATATATATTTACTACTAAATATATAACCTACCACATGACTGGGCCCACAGCATGTCATGTGAAACAATTTCCTAAGTAAAATTTTCAGTTAGAGTCAGATAGAATCAACTTTCAAGTTAACTCAAGTCCATTCCTATTGATGTCTTTCTTACTGCTTCTAACAAGTCACATACAAATTAAAGACACTCTCCAGAACAATGGTGACCTGGATTCCAGAACAGGAGGCATGCCTGCCATCTTTCCTTTATCATCCCTCACAACCCAGGGCAGGTGTCCACAGGGCTGCACCGCTGTGCACAGGTACCCAGAACAGGAGAGCTAAGTCCTGGGGCCTGTGACTTCTAATACGCAGTACACTGAGGCTAACCTTCCAGAGAACTCGATGTTATTCTATAAGCCTGCATTTTTGTCTTGACAGTCCAATCTACTTCATATTCTTCCAGTCTTGATTTTTTTTTCCTTTACATGTCACTCTTTGGCCATTTAAACCCCTTATGAAAATTGTCTCAAGTGCTTTTGTGAACAAGGTTTAGGATGTCAGATTGACCAAACAAAATTCGACTTACTAAGATTTGGTGTTGCTGTGCAATACGGTTTGTGGGATAGCATGTCACAAACACCTTGGGGGGGTGGGGAGGCAGTGCTGACTCTATTTGAGCACTTACAAATCTGAATCAATGTTAACAGGAAATTTTTAAAGCCTGGCTTTCAGGCCCGTGTGATCAGTGAGTGCTCTTCTCTGCATTAGTTCCTCTCTAGAAAATTCTAGATGGTCACTTGACTCCTGTCTGTGTACCTTTACAGCTTCAAATTTTTTTTAATATTTTTTTTTACCGATTGAGAATTTCATACGATGTATTTTTATCGTATTCATCCCACACTCCTCCCAGATTCGCTCCCACCTCCCCACCCCTCCCAGCTGCGTGTCCTCTTTCTGTGTGTATGTTTCTTTAATGACCCATCGTGTCCAATTTGAGTTGCCCATATACTCGGCGGGGTGGCATCCCCTGGAGCATAGTTAAGCTACCAGGGCCCATACTCGTAAATAAAAACTGGCTCAAGCGCATTACAAATTTAACAGCAAAATGCCAGTTTCAGTCAGTTGATCCACTGCGGCTCCCTTTCCTTTCAAGTCAGTTTCTAATTTCAGTACAATACTTTCAGTAAGATGTACCATCTCAGCTGACAGAGGCCATCAGCCCGTGTGTGTGTGTGTGCCACCACCACTGCTGACATCCGCCAGGCTCTTGCAAAGCTGATGACAGTGTTTTGTTGTTTTCTCTTTGGCTACTCTTGGTCACAGGTGCCTGCAAAACAATAAGATTCACTTCGTGTCCGTCTCTGCTTTCAGGGGACTGCGCAGCCTCACTAAACTGTAAGTATGGGGTCCACGGAGGTCAGGGAGGGGAGTGCTAAAAGGCTCCCTGGACCACCAGCACCCTGTCAGGCTAACCCATTCCAGTCCAAACCAGTTCCCCTGCTCAGGACAGTCAGTACCAGGAGGCCTGAAAGTAGTGCTGAATGGACAGTGTCATAGTGGGCTGGGAACATGGGATCGGGGTCACACTGTGTTCAGGCTGAGCCCTGATTTTACTTGCCAGGTGAGTGCCCTTGGGTGCCAGCTCCCTCTGCTGCCTGGTGCTTGCTCTAATAGTGCCCAGCACGTGGCTGTGTGGGAGGGAGCAAATGAAAAAGCCCATAGGCGACATTAGATATGCCGCGGCCGCCTAAGTGGAAGCAGGCAGATCTTCTGTGCCAAGACAAACTCAATCATGTACATCCGCCATGGCAGCAGGAGTGACCGTTGAAGGAGCTTGGTCAAAGTGAGGAACCTGAGGACAGAGAAGAAGAGGGGCTTCCCCAGCTGTCCCGGGGATTCTGCTCGCTCTGCTTTTCCCTTCATGCTGGGGGTAAAACCGGTGTCCTGTGTGTGCTAGGCACACACTGAGAGTCTCCCCCAACCGCTCACTTGCATTTTCACAAGGTTTTGAGATAGTATCTCACTGTGTAGCTTCCTGGCTTGGAACTCACTCTGTAGACCAGGGTGGCCTTAAACTCACAGAGATCTGCCTGCTTCTACTTGTGGAGTACTGGGATTAAAGTCATGAGCACCACAACTGACTTATAATGTTAAATCCGACCTTATAAACGTTTAACATATAATAGATTGAGGGACCGGGCGGTGGTAGTGCACAGCTTTAATCCCAGTACTAGGGAGGCAGAGGCTAGTGGATCTCTGTGAGTTCCAGGACAACCTGGTCTACAGAGTGAATTACAGAACAGCCAGGACTACAGAGAAACTCTGTCTCAAAAAAACAAACAAAAACCCTGGTGGTTGTGTGCCTGTAACCCAAGAACAAGAGGTGCTAGGCAAATAAATGTTGAACATATAATAAATTTAAAAGAGCAAAGCTATTGACCGTGGAATCTGGTTTGTTTTCTACCTCACTTTGCCCAATGTCTCTGGCATTCCTCCCTGTAGCGTGTATGGGAATTTTCTCTTTTTCAAGGCTGCATAGTATTTCGTTGTGTATATATGTACCACATTTTGTTTATTCACCCGTCTGTCCATGGGTGATTGGGAATTTGCATCTTATTCTGTTATGGTAATACTATTACTCAGTCCACACATTTACGTGAGTGCCTGCTTTCAGTTCTCTTGGGTGAGCTAAGCCAGGGAGTAGAATTGTTGTTCCTGTGTTGATTCTACCTGCTTTTTTTCCTTCCTTCTGGAAGCTACTGTACTGCTTCTCCAGCAGCAGCATTTTTTTTTTAATTCTTTGAGAATTTTATGTAGTATATTTTATCATATTCTTTCCTGTGCCCCAACTTCTCCTGGATCCATCCCCTTCCCTACCCACTCAACTTCACATTTTTTTTTCTCTCTCTTAAAAAAAATGAAAAAAGTCTTAGCTGGGGGCATCCTTGTAGATTCATGGGAGTTTCCCTTGCATTGGGTTTGCACCTGACCCCAAAATGCCCCCCTTTTCAGTCACCTCTTTCAGCACTCTACCCCTCCATCCACCCCCCCCCAACACAATCCCTCAAGTTCCCATCCCCACCCACCCACCCCCAAGTCCACCCAGGAGATCTCCTCTATTTCCCCTTCCCAGGGAGATCCATGCATCTCCCCCTTGGGCCTTCCTTGTTACCTAGCCTCTCTGGGTCTGTGGATTGTAGCATGGTTATTCTTTACTTTACAGCTAATATCCACTTATGAGTGGGTACATACCATGTTTGTCTTTCTGGGTCTGGGTTACCTCACACAGGATGATTCCTTTTTTCAAATTCCATCCATTTGCCTTCAAATTCCCCAATGTCATTGTTTTTAACAGGTGAATAATACTCCATTGTGTATATGTACCACATTTTCTTTATCCATTCTTCAGTTGAAGGGCATCTAGGTTGCTTCCAGGTTCTGGCTATTATAAATAGTGCTGCTATGAACATAGTTGAAGAAGTGCCCTTGTGGTATGATTGAGCAGTCTTTGGACATATGCCCAAGAGTGGTATTGCTGGGTCTTGAGGTAGATTGATTCCCAATTTTCTGAGAAACTGTCATACTGATTTCCAAAGTGGCTATACAAGTTTGCATTCCCACCAGCAATGGAGGAGTGTTCCCCTTACTCAACATCCTCTCCATAAGCTGTCATCAGTGTTTCTGATCTTAGCCATTCTGACAGGTATAAGATGGAATCTCAGAGTCATTTTGATTTGTATTTCCCTGATGACTAAGGATGTTGATCAATTCCTTGAATGTCTCTCAGCCATTTGAGATTCTTCTGTTTAGTCTGCATCCCACTTTTAATTGGATTGCTTGGTATTTTGCTGTTTAGTTTCTTGAGTTCTTTATATATTTTTGGAGATCAGCCCTCTGTTGAATGTGGGATTGGTGAGGATCTTTTCTCATTCTGTGGGCTGCTGTTTTATCTTATTAACAGTGTCCTTTGCCTTACAGAAGCTTCTCAGTTTCAGGAGGTCCCATTCATTGTCAGTCTTAGCGTCTGTGCTACTGGTGTTCTATTCAGGAAGTTGTCTCCAGTGCCAATGCATTCAAGGCTCTTTCCCACTTTCACTTCTATCAGGTTCAGTGTTACTGGATTTATGTAGAGGTCTTTGATCCACTTGGACTTCAGTTTTGTGCAAGGTGATAGATATATTTGCATTCATCTACATGCTGACATCCAGTTATGCCAATCCCATTTGTTGAAGATGTTTTCTTTTATCCATTGTATAATTTTGGTGCTCATGAATCTACAAGGTTGACCCCAGCTAAGACTCCTAGCAATAGTGGATACATAACCTGAACTGGCCATCTCCTGTGATCAGATTGGTGACTACCCCAATTGTCATCAAAGAGCCTTCATCTAGTAACTGATAAAAACAGATACAAAGACCCAAAGCCAAACATTAGCCCAAGTTTGAGGAATCCTGCTTAAGAAAGGGAAGAAGGATTGTAGGAGCCAGAGGGGTCAAGGATATCACAAGAAAACCCACAGAAACAACTAACCTGGCTCATAGGAACTCACAGAATCTGAACCAACAGCCAGGGAACCTGCATGGGACCAACTTCAGCCCTCTACATATATGTGACAGTTGTGTGGCTTGGTCTACTTATGGGACTCCTAATAATGAAAGCAGGTACTGTCCCTAATGCTTTGACTGGCTCTTGAGAACCTATTCCTCACACTGGATTAACTTGTCCAGCCTTAATACAAGAGGAGGTGCTTAGTCTTACTGCAACTTGATATGCCATATTTTGTTGTTACCCATGGAGGCCTGCCCCTTTCTGAACAGAAACAGAAGAGGAGTGGATGGGCACAGGGGGAGGGAATGAGAGGAGGGAGGGGAAACTGTGGTCGGGATGTAAAATAAATTAAAAACTCAAATAAATAAATAAGAAAAATGAAAGAAAAAAATGAAAAAAACATGAAGTCCAGTTAGTGTTTGCCAACTACTTCTGGGCATGATGCCTGCCCTGAAGTGAGGCTCATATACTTGGTGTCACTCCATTGAAGAAAACTGATTTTCCCTTTGCCAGCAGGTATCAGTTTTAAAGAGCTTCTTGGATAGAGGTGAGACAGTAACCATTTCCACTCCTCTGTGCTGGGAGTTTGTCTGACTCACACTTGTGCAGGTCTTGTGTATGCTGCTTCCTTAAAATCATCCTCCACCTCCGGCCCTTGCAATCTTTTCACCTCCTCTTCCATGTAGAGTCCCATGGTCTTAAGTGGTGTAGTTCAATAAAGGCAACTCGCTCAGGGCTGAATGCTCCAAAGTCTCCCATTCTCTCCATGTTGTCTAGTTGTGGCTCTCTGGGTTAATGTGGAGACCCACAGAGGTTTCCTAGTGAGATCTGAGTGTGCTTTACCTAACAGGGCTGCATAGGGTAATGACTGGACCGTGAGTGTGGTTACCAGGTGTTTGGACGGGTCTGCACTTGTCTTGTGATATGCTTTTGCCTTGGCCCTTGGCATTGTTATAAAAAGCCCTTTGGAAGAGACAGAAGGGGCTGGTGGATTTTGATCCAGGTCCTCCCAAAGCTGTCCTGTGTTTCTGTCTGTCTCCTCTCCGCTATCTTTCTACCTAAATGTTTCTTGTTCCTCTCTCCTCCTCGTAGGACCCTTTAAAAGGTGGGAGCTGGCCTCCCACAGGTTAATTACCACCTACTGCAAGAAGCTTCTCCAATGAGGGTTCAGTGAAGCACTGATCTATAGGTATAGCCATACGTCATTAGCGTCATTGTGTTTCTATGTTCATTTGACAGAATAACAGTAGTAGGCTTTCCCCCAGACCCACCAGCTATCTCATCTCAGGTTCTTGGCCATTAATGCTATCACCTGTGTGTTGCTTCGCATGGATCCGGCCTTAAATCTAATCAAAAAATGATGGGCTACACCCGTGAGCATATCTTGCAGTCATGTTGTTATCACAGCTGTCAAGGTTCATAGCTTGGTAAGGTTGATGACTGTTTTTCTCTTTCTGTAGCAGGTATAGAAACTTCTATCACTATCAATGCCATCTAGCAGGGATGAAGTTTCCAGTTGAGTACCAGCTGGATTTCTTCATGTTCTATTCCATTAGTATGCTGTTTCCAGCAATAGGGTCTTCATGTCAAGTTGTGGAGGCTAAGGAATAGCGCTGACAATAGCCTATAGTGTTTGGAGAGGTCTATGGGACCCCTTTGGCTAAAGACCCCCCCCCCAAAATGTAACTCATTCCTGGTAATGGTTGGGTTACTTGGTACCATACGATGTCTAGTTGGGGCATTATCTTCTTCCATCATGTGGTGACTCCATTCAAACTATGTGTGTGTGTGTGTGTGTGTGTGTGTGTGTGTGTGTGTGTGTGTGTGTGTACATAAGGTTTCCTCATGGATTTTCAAAAGCTGTTAGTGTTAGTCACTCCTCCCCACACTTTGTTCTGTACCCGGACCTCCATCCCCCACTTCACGCCTCCTGCTCTCCCACTCTCATCCCTTCACTCCTGTTCTAACTTCCCCTTTATTCCTTGATGACACTATCTTCTAAAGCCCTTGCTTGGCGGCTGCACTGTTTTAATCTCCCACCAATCGCACAGAAGCGTTCTAGTGTCTGCCATCCTCAGCCACACTCATTCTCTCACGGCTTGAAGGATTGTTTCAATACTAACTATCCTAGTGGGTGTGGAGTTGTGTGTCATGGAAAGCCATTTTCCTCTTAAATTATGTATATGGACATTTTTGCTTGTCTGTATGTCTGTGCACCTTGTGCATTCAGTGCCTGAAAATGGCAGAAAAGGGTGTCAAGCTCCCTGGGATTGGAGTAACAGCCAAGGTTGTAAATTACCGTGTGGATGCGGAGAATCAAACCCAGGTCCTCTGGAAGAGCAGCAAATGATCATACCCACTGAGCCATCTCTCCAGCCCAGGGAATCTTTTTTAAAATAGGCTTTTGAAATTCCATCACATTCATCCATGTCCTTACCAAGCAACCTCTTCTAAGCAAACAGATCTGAAGCTTGGGTAAATAAAAGGCTCCCTACATTTTCCCTGCTTCCTTTTGGGTTAGGTTGTCTTCTTTTCAGTTTTCTTCCATTCTTTCCTGGTAGGGGCAGGACACTGCACAGGCAGGACATGGCTAGTGTGGAGGTCAGATGACCACCTCAGTTTTCTCCTTCTAACATGTGGGTCCTGGGGATTGAACACAGGTCACCGGGTTTTGGAGCAAGCACTACTGACCTGCTGGGCCATTTCACCAACCCTGCTTATTTATCTTCATCCTACCTCATTCTCCACCTTTACCCTACCAATCTGTGTCTATCATATTTTTAGTCTATGGTACCAAAGTGTGATACCGAGTCAAGAACACCTGGCAATTGGTAGCAAATGGTCCTGGGCACCTTAGCCCCTCCCTGCTTCTGTTCCGAACCTGCTGCCCTGTGTTCTCAGCATTCCGCTCATTCTCACCTGGCTCCCAGCATCAGCTTGGCTTCCTGTTTAAGATACAGGAGACATTCTTGAAAGGCAGAACAGAGCAGGCAAGGAAGTTTTTAAGGCTCCATCTCTTCCCACTTGTTCCTTGGCACCAGACTATTTTGTGACTGTTAACAACTCCACATTATCTCTAGTTTTCTTAAATGTCATGGAATACGTGCTTTTGTTCGTGCATAAAAGTACTCATCCCATCCTTTATTGGGCAAGTCTTCAGGTAGATGTCTCTGGGACACAGGACAGTGGGTCAGACTTACTGTCTTTAAGGAGCTGCTTGCTACCCAAGAAAGTCATGGCTCCCTGAGCTGTTCTGGAGGGCATCGAGCCTCTCATTGTCTGGAGAGAAAGCAATACCATAGTATTAGTACTTACGTTGAAACTCATGTTGCTCACACCAACTCTGCTGTCACAGATCTTTGCCAGTCAGACCTCCCTCACTGTGGCAAATGCCTGACAGAAACGACCTAAAGGGGAGGAGATTCCACATGGCTTGTGGTTTCAGAAGCCCAGCTTTGCAGGCAGCATGGTGCAACCCACATCCCTGGGGATTCTCCCCTCCCCCATAGTTAATCCTCTCAGTAAGACTCTTCACAGTCAGTGTTCTTTACTGGTCTCCTACATGCTCCTCGATCCAATCAAGTTGACACTCAAGGTCCGCGTCACAGGTACTCTGTGAGAAGTGACCATTTCTGATCTAGAGCAATGCAGGGGGCCTCTGAGAAATGAAGAGGACTGGACAGTAGAGATGTGGGTGAGGTGCAAGGTTGGATTCATTGCCTTGTACTTGGGGGATGGGCGTTGATCCATGACAGAGCCCTGAGGTGTTCATGGATGTGCAAAAGCTATTTCTTAGGTCTTCTCTGCCTGCCCGGCATCCTGGCCAGCAAAGCAGAGAAGGAAGTGGCTTGACCTAAAAGACAAACAAGTGAAAGTCAAACCTGGAGAAAATAAATAAATAAATAAATAAATAAATAAATAAATAAATAAATAAATAAATAAATATCAGATTCTTGGCAGAATTTTTGCAGGTTGTCAACTATAAAATATGAGAAAATTAAAGAAAAGGGAAATTGTTTTTAAAGTTGGGAGCTGGGGATGACAGAGTGCTTGCCTAACACACACAAAGCTCTGATTTTGATCCCCAGTACCACTTAAAGCCAGGTGTGGTGATGCACTCCTACAGTCCCAGCACTTGGGAGGCAGAGGAAGGTAGGTCAGAGTTCAAAGCAAGCCTCAGAAGTTGGAGGCCAGCCTTGTCTAGATGAGACCCTGCCTTTTCAATAATAATAATAATAATAATAATAATAATAATAATAATAATAATAGAGAGAAACCAATGTGTTCCATTTATCCGGGCAAGCGAAACTTGAACAAGTGCTTGCAAATGAATCATGGGCAGAGATGAGGCCGAAACAGTGTTCTAACAGTGAGTGATTCGTGCAGAGCTCAGATGGCATGACCTGTCTCCAGTGTGACTGTAACCCTGTGAGGGAGGAACTGAATGCACGTCTTAGACAGAGGAAGCTAGAGCTCACCGGAAGGAAGTGTTTGCTCCAGGCCACACTGGTGACAGTCAATAGAAGAGTCAGAAACCAATAATAGTAACAGACTCAAGGCAAAGATTCCCTCACTGAGGAGACTGAGATATAAACACACGTGGCAAAAAGACGTCAACACAGTATAATGGCACTGGCTTGCTTTGCAGGGAGGGAGGCGGAGGTGGGTAGATAAAAAGAGTCAGACTCATTAATAAACCATATCATGGCCTTTTACCAGCACAGCCCCCTCCAGATCCCAAGTTCATTCCCAGGGTCCTGCCATGGTGAGTGTCTTAGTTAGGGTTCTTATTGCCGTGAAAAGACACCACGACCACGGGCAACTCTTATAAAGAAAACATTTCATTGGGGTGGCTCGCTTACAGTTTCAGAGGTTCAGTCCATTACCATCATGGCAGGGAGCGTGGTGAGGAGCATGGCAGCGTGCAGGCAGACGTGGTGCTGGCTACATCTTGGCTTGCAGACGACAAGAAGTCAACTGAAAGTCACGTTGAGGGAAGCTTGAGCAAAAGAGACCTCAAAGCCCTTCTCCACAGTGACACACTTCCTCCAGCAAAGCCACGCCTCCTAATAGTGCCACTCGCTGTGAGACGATGGCACACTGAAATTTCTAGCCCTCTCTTAACCCCTTCCTCTCTTGTCCTCGTTGCTTCTACATATGCTGTTTCCCCTGCCTAAGGGCACCCCTGCCACGTCTTCGCTTTGTGAACACCGTGTCTCCATCCACGAGGCTTCGGAACTGTGCCTCCTTTCTGTCTCTACTCCCTTGTCTTCCCCGGTGTCCCATCTTTACAGAGCAGATGCATTCTGCAAATGGAAGAGTAACCGGACGTTGTACACATCCCTCTGGTTTTTGTGTGTTGCCTAGTTACCTGTTCGCATCCCTGCCCTGCCTCTCCAGATTCAATGTCCTCCCAAGAGTGGGCTGATATACCTGCCACAACTATTCCATTCGGGTAGTTCTCTGTCACTCTAACAGAATTCTTGAGATAATTAACTTATAAAGAGAAAATGGTTTTGGCTCACACTCTTTGAGGCTTGTTTGTGATCGACTGACTCTGTTACTTTGAACCTGTGATTGAGGCAGCATAAGCTGCTGGGAATGCATGGTAGAGCGCTCACCTACCTCATGGCTGGGAAGTAAGGAAGAGAAAGACATCCTTCAAGGGCACTGTGGAAGAGCACATCCCCAATGACCTGAGGATTCCCACAGGGCCTTATTCCCTTAAAGGTCTTCAGGCCCTCCCTACAGTGCCCCCTGGAAGCAAAGCCTTTGACCCATGTGTACCTATCCAGATGACAGCAGAGTAGGTCATTAAAACATGGACAACTCATTAGCCAGTTATGGGAAATTAAAGCTAAATTTGACACAAGACGTGAGACTGGCCCTGAGAAGGCCAAAGGCTGGAAGTGCTGTGGTGAGTCTGGTAGAGGAGAGAATTTAGGAAGGGTCATCGTTACCTTCCTTCTTGCAAAACATCACAAAGAATAAACTCACTGCTCTTATGTCTCCTCCAGGTACCTCAGCCACAACAGAATAAGCTTCCTGAAGCCAGGAGTCTTTGAAGATCTCCACAGACTGGAATGGCTGTATGTTTCATTTGTGCGGCGCTCCCCTGTGTCAGTTTTAATGTTCTGAAAATACGTATGTCACTCTGCTCTCTTCCTACTGACAGGATAATGGAAGACAATCACCTCAGCCGAATTTCCCCACTCACATTTTATGGACTGAATTCTCTTATTCTCTTGTAAGTCCTCAAATAAAACTAACAGGGAGATAATATGGTTCAATCCCCGGGACCTACGTGGTAGAAAGACAGACTCCTGCAGACTATCAACTCTACATGAAAACTGGCATGCAGAGAGAGAGAGAGAGAGAGAGAGAGAGAGAGAGAGAGAGAGAGAGAGAGAATTAGATCAATGCAATAAAAACTTTAAAGTATTCCAATTGAAGAAAGAGACGGAAATAAAAAAAAAAACTTTAAGCATAGTAGCATTAAATTTGTAATTATTAAATCTTAAAAGAAGCTTTCTTGACTGAAAACCACCTTGCCCATATTCTCTAAGGCTACTCACAGGTCTGACCATTTTGTAACAGTGTTCTCCGAGCCCACCAAAACTGAGCACAGTCTCCCTGTTGTACTGCACTGAAGTACTCCTTAGCACCATCCCTCCCTGGCAGCAACTCCAGCAAAGGAAAAGCCGCACACAAAGGTCCCCTCCTCTGCACAGCCCCTGCTGATGGGTGGGCACAAGCTTCTGCCTGCAGGCTAGCCTTGCTGCTCCCGGTGTGAGATCTGCTGTGGGGAGACATGTCCTTCCTACCAAAGCGTTTCGGTACTTCAGAGTGTACAGAGAGAACGCGGTGGGAAGATTTGCAGCGTGAGATTCTAGCTGTTTCTGAAGAGCAGTGATAACTGGGTTTGCCTAGAGATAGAGAAGAAGCAGAAAATGTGATTTGGGTGCTTTCTTTCTTTTTAGAGTGCTGATGAATAATGCCCTCACCCGTTTGCCTGACAAACCCCTCTGTCAGCACATGCCCCGGCTCCACTGGCTGTAAGTCTCTCTCTCTCTCTCTCTCTCTCTCTCTCTCTCTCTCTCTCTCTCTCTCTCTCTCATATATATATACATATATATATATATGCTACATTTTCTGAATTTGACTAACTCATATTAGACACCAGGGGTCCTCGGTGCCAGGTGGCTAGTGTATCAAGTTTCTTTGCCTTATTTTGTTGTATCTTTATATTAAACATACTCATTGACTAGCTTCTCTACACCTTCACCAAAATGCAATATCAGAAAGAGAAAAAACATTTTGGAGCCAAGAAGAAGGAAGACAGAAGGGACATCACCTGGTCTGCATCACACTTCCTTTTCCCACTGCCAGTTCACTCACCTACTAAGTTGATGCAGAGAGCTAAGCCATTTTAGTTTATCCCTAAATTCTGAGCGATGAGAATGCGTGGCTTGGCACTGATCACAAGAGGATGGGGCTGTGAGATGTTTTGAGACAGTCCCCTATAGGTTCTGTGTGATGTGTCGGCACAATGGCTTTGCCTAGTAACAAATATCACTCCACTTAGAGTTTAATCATCCAGTAAATTTGCCAGTTTAGGACATAGATTTGGTCAGGTGTGGTGGCTCGCACCTGTAGTCCTAGAAGGCTAAAGCAAAAGGCTGAGGAAGGAGAATCACCACAAGTTCAAAGCTAGCCTGGGGTATGGAGTGGGGCCCTGTTATTTTAAAAAATGGACTAAAGGGGTTTGTTTTGTCTTGCTTTATTAAGAAATGACCAAAATTACTATTTAAAAGTTCAATCAACACACTGCCCACCAGAATCAGAAAAACCCCCTCTACTTCTTGTTCTGTAAGAAATTTTCAAAAGCGGATTGCTTGGTATCCAAGTTCACAGCAAACTAGAAGGGTCCAATCACAAGGACAGGAAGATCGTGAGAAACACCATCTTTGTGAGTCGTGACGACTGTCAACCCGATTGCAACAGAAGAGAAAGGGGCCAGCGAGAACACAGGACAGGTTTGGCACGTGCTCATTTAGAATCCCACCAGGGAAGCAAGCATTCCTAAGTCCAGAGGCACGCGTCAGTGTGACAGCCCAGCTCTTTCTGTACGAGTCAATGACCTTCCTTGTAATTGAAGCTTGGTCCTCTAACAGCCATTGCAGTTCTGACTTAGTGATGGGACACAGCCGAAGCCATCAACAAGTGAGACGGGAGGTTTAGCTGGATGGTTGAGCGCTTACTTAGTGCACAGGGTTGAATCCCAAGCACCCTCCTCGCAATATCATATATATATGAATTGATACTAATTGATACAAGGTTTCATTATGTAGCCCAGGCTGGCCTTGAACTCACTCACAGGTATCCTCCTGTCCCAGTCTCCCCAGTGCTGAGATTGCAGAGGTGGGAGCTGCTGCAGGCAACCCTTAATGAGTATTCGCGGATTCTTCAGAGAGCACTGCCACCTAGTGGTGGGTTCATGATTTAACCCTTGGCAATACAATAAAAGGAACAAGGTCCAAAAGCCTGAACCAAGGCAAGACTCTAAGCATTTAGCAGCCACTTTTGTAGAGCGAAGACTTTGCCTCTAGAGGGTCAATCTGCTGCTCATTCCACAGCCTGACTTCTTAGGCTACTCTCCATCATAAATACACCTTCTTCTTCAATGTACTCAATTTTTAGATCCCTTCGTTCCCAATCTTTCATATATATTTCACTCTGTCAATGTCAACTTCCGTGCAGGTCCCAAAGCAAGGCTGACAGTCCCCCTGGAGCCGGCAGGACACCGGCTTTTCTCTAGAGTTTTCCGACTTTTCCTTGGAGGTTTTAGTAGCTCTCCCACACGTCTGTCGCGCATGAATCACTATTGCTTCTAAGTAACTTCATGCCGTCTGGCAACCATTCAACTAAGTGTGTGATGCCCTCAGGGCAGCGTCCAAGGCAGTATATCACTCTGCAAACTTCTACCATGCACCTGCTGCTGGGGTCAAAGAAGAGGGGCCGTGTGAGAACAACCCCAGCTGGGGACACAGCTCGGTGGTAGGGCACGAGCTTCGTATGTGCAAAGCCTTGCCCTTGGTCCTCAGCACTCGTTGCTGTGGTGAGAGTTCTTGTGGTGACCTCTCCACAAGCACTCAAGAGGAACGTCTACACAGCGCCCCCTGCTGGAGAGGCAATCCCGACGGCTCCCAGCAGTGGCAAGCTGTCCGGAATCTTTCCCGGACAGTTTAAGAGAGGGAGACAGGAACTGGATAGTGTGTGATAGAGACCATGACAGAAAACCACAGCTGTCAAGATGCAGAGAACAACTAACCGGGGGGGCGGGGGGCAGATTGTAGAACCAGAAGGACAAGGAACGAGGATGTGTCTCCTAGAATAGATAGGAAGCTACACCCATGATACCACAGCAATACGGCCACCTAACCAAGACTCGAATAATGATAACATTAATAGACAAGCTAAAACCACAGGGGGAAATCTCACCGGGTCCCATCCCTTAATGAGGAAGTACAGGGAGCTAATGACTTCTGAGAGAGGGAGAATTAGTCTTCCCCAGTGACGAGCACCTAACGGGTTACCCAACACCAAGTGGTCAGCTCTGAAATCATATATATACAAACAACACTAAACAGACTCAGCAGACTGTTTTTATATATTTATGTATGTATATATATATGTGTGTGTGTATGTATATATATGTAAAAATAATAATCAAAGAAAAGGAGGCCAGGCATTTGAGAGAGAGTAAGTAAGGATGGGAGAGATTAGAGGAAGAAAATGAAAAGGAAAATGGTGTAATTATATTTTAATTAAATTTTTTAATTATTAAGATACATAAAGGAATGAATATTGTCTGCACAGCCACAGCCTCTGCAGCCTAATTGGATCCTATAGTTTCATTTCTGCTGATGGAAGCACCTTGCACCTCTGGACAAATGTTTAATTTGCTTGAATACTAAATATCTGTAAATTAGGTATTTCTCTTTTTCTTCAATTTCTTGTAATAATATCCATGTCATTGTGGACACATGATAAAGATATGACTCAAAACATTTTTACTCCTTGGTACTGGGAATTGAACCCAGGACCTCATATTACTTTTGCTAGTGATACAGAAGACAGACAATAATACTACATGTATATAGCATATATATATATATACATATGTAAATTCAATTGCTTTACAAATTATTGTAAACAGAATGTAAGGAAAGATATTTTACTAGATAGCAGGTAATCCTTAGCCAATTTATTTCTGTCTATGAATTTAATTTGATTGTGTTTTCTTTTTATGTTCTAGGGACTTTGAAGGCAACCATATTCATAATTTAAGAAATTTGACTTTTATTTCCTGCAATAATTTAACTGTTTTGTAAGTACTATCTTTTTTTAAGTAATGTCGACTCTTCTTACAAACCAAATGAATCTTTTTCTTTTCTTTTCTTTTCTTTTTTTCTTTTTTGAGCTGAGGATTGAACCCAGGGCCTTGCGCTTGCTCGGCAAGCACTCTACCACTGAGCTAAATCCCCAACCCCAAATGAATCTTTTAAGTGAGTAGAACGCAGCCTGAGAATGTGCAGAGGTAGGCTGGTGTGACTCCTTTCCTCGTGTGTGTGTGTGTGTGTGTGTGTGTGTGTGTGTGTGTGTGTGTACCCCCAAGTCACACATGCACACCCTGCTTGTGAGTGGAGTTCTCTCAGACTCATAAAGACAAACAGTACATGCTTTCTCTCATAAATGGAATCTAAATTGCATTTGTGAAGTGTGTGTGTGTGTGTGTGTGTGTGTGTGTGTGTGTGTGTGTGTGTTATGAAAGTAGGAAGGGGACCATGGGGAGGAGGAAGAAGAGATCTTAAGGGTATGGGGAGAAGAGCAAAGACAGTAATAGCACGCATATGACATCAAAGCAAAATGAAGGACCATTTGTGAAGAGGAGAGGAACAAGCAAGAGTGAGGCAAGTGGATGGAGGAGGACAGAAGGGTCACGGTGTGAAGACAAACAGAGTATTATGGCATGTGTGCATAAAAATGCCATAATGAATCCCATTATCCTATATGCTAAGCTAAAAAGTTTTTAAATAAAAGAGTAGGTTCAAAAACAACTGGAAGCCCTTTGAAATTTCCCAAATTAATCATTTATGCTAAAAGACAACACAGACATCAGTGAAGAGGGGATACGATGTGGATCAGCTGTACAGCAAGTGCCCAGAATGAGATCCTCTCTCTCTCTCTCTCTCTCTCTCTCTCTCTCTCTCACACACACACACACACACACACACACACACACACACACACACACACACAGTCAAGAACAAGTACTACAGTCTAACATATTTCCAAACTTAAAGAGACGTTGAATTGGTCCATTCAGACCATTCTTTCTTAGGCAGCTCAATCCTAATTCTATCCACTAGCAAATAAGAGCTCTGTGGTGCATGGAGCCTTTTGTTAGACAGACACACTTTGCAGACTGAGGAGATAAGTCTAAAACAATTCCTATGCTCATAGCTGCAAGAAACTCAGTTTTTGTTCAGAAGAGGTGAGGATTCCCTATTCCTTTCAAAGTCCTTCTTCATTTCTAATTACAAGTCTAAATTACATTTTTTGTATTGTCCCTGTTAAAAGATTTATGAAATTTAGGAATAAAGTCGAATTGAAGCTGGGTGATGAAGTGAAGAGACTGAAGCAGAAAGGTCAGGCGTGAGTTTGAGGCCAGCCATGGCTGCATAGTTGAGACTGTGTTTTCAAAATAAATAAATTGAATAATATCATACTATTCAAAACATTCTGATATGAAAATGCACTCTATATTCATTATCTTTATGGTTTCTTTGTAGGAGTTACATCTAGTAATCTATGTGATAATCGTGTTGACATGTTAACATGTGCTTTTCTTTTTACTTCCAGGGTAATGAGGAAAAACAAAATTAATCACTTAAATGAGCATGCATTTACACACCTCCAGAAACTAGATGAATTGTAAGTTTAACTAAGTATGTATTTAGAATGCTCTTTTCCAGTTTTACTTTGTATTACTTATATATGTGGTATTGATATATTTAAGAAATATTAATTTCTTCTTTCCAAACAGTATTTATATGTAACATGGATCACAAAACAATTCAGATAGCTTATAAAAGTAAATGTGAAATAAATACTTGAGATAAGTTAGATAAAGGAAACATAGCTTTAGACAAAAAGTAACACGAGGGTAAAATTAGTAAGTAAAATATAACCTACACTGTTCTGTTGTATTGCTTCAAGGGGACAGAATATCTGTCATTAAGTTTCCCAGATGGCTCAGACTGAGGAACCACAAGACTCTAAGATATAATTCTTCTGAAGCTGACACTGAAGGGTTATCCTGGACCCATAAGGAAATACAGCATTGCCATGGATAAGATTCCTATCCACAGTGATGGAAGGGAGAGATACATTCAAAATATTTTAATGCCCCCTTTAAATGCCAATAGCACAATTACAAAGCCATCAAAGAAATTATATGATGAACCTAAAGCCTTATGATGATTGGTGGTCAGAATAAGATAATACGAGCCATCAGTGAACCCTTCAGATCATTGTCTGTTTTAGTCTGGGAATAACCTGTAGTGGATGTGGTTACACGTTTTGACAATTATTTAGGCCAAACACTGAATTACTGAGTCTTTCATACAAAAATTAAAGCATGCAGAAGCCTAAGAGAACAGTTAGAAATACATATTGCTCTTCCAGAGGACTGGAGTTCAGTTTCCAGCATCTACTTTGGACAGCTCACAACCATCTGTATCTCCAGCTCCAAGGGATCTGATACCCTCTTCTGACTCTAAAGTCTGAAAGCACCTGCACATATCTGTGCAGAGAGAGAGGGGGGAGGGAGGGAGGGAGGGATGGAGGGAGAGAGAGAGAGAGAGAGAGAGAGAGAGAGAGAGAGAGAGAGAGAGAGAGAATAAAATCATTTTCAAAAAATTAAAGAATTAAGCCAGGCAGGGGTGGTACATACCTTTAATCCCAACACTTGGGAGGCAGAGGCAGGTGGGTTTCTGAGTTCAAGGCCAGCCTGATCTACAGAGCAAGTTGCAGGACAGCCAGGGCTACACAAAGAAACCCTGTCTCAAAAAAAATTAAAGAATTCAGATAGAATGTTAGGGACAGTGTTAGATAGCTTCCTTGTACATAGGCAGGTAAAGGGAATGTGGTGAACAGAAAGCTTATCAGGAAACGGTCCTGTAGCATATGGGCCACTGAAAACTCCAAACTTCTTTTGTAATGAGTAGCTTGAAACATTTTTGACATGTGCTACCAATCATTCACTAAATGTGCACCTACCTCTCAATAGGTCTTTAGACCTGGGCCCTGTGATGGGAAGTCCTGGTACATGACAATCAAATCTTATCAGTGCATAGGAAATCACTCTCAATAACAGGGAGAAATGTGACAAGATGACCCAAAGACATTGTCTAGCCATTAAAACAAAAGTTAGTGATCCATATTGTTCTAATTTTATCCCACTAGAAATCACCACCTAAATATCAGAGGACAGTTTTCGCAAGTCATAATCAACAGTGGCCTCAGGTGCAGACTCCGCATTGGTAACCAGTAGTGATCGTGGACTACACACAGCCTCAATGCAGAACCAGAGTCTGTCTAGACTCATAGACAATGCAGAGAATGAGCAAGGTTGATAATTAGCCCTGCCTAAAGCCTGCCTAATCCCATGGCAAACACTTGCCTGAAAACTCAGATCTACAAGGCCAAAACTAGCCTGTTCTCTAAGAGGTAACCCATTGTCAGATGGGTCTAGATTTAAACTCTAGCTTTGAAGGAGGGCAGAGTACACTGTGCTGGGCAAACCTTGGCAGCAAATAGCATACCCTTGTCATAGAAACCCTGATGTAGTTCCTGGTACAGAGAATCAAAGAGCTCAAGAGGGCAGAAGGAAAAAACTACAATAATCAAGAGGAAGCCCCACACAGAGCATCTCACTGGAGCTCTGGAACATGTGTAGGCTGTGGGGAAGCATCTGAGGAGACAGCAGCAGGAAGTGATGTTAGAAACGTATGTCACTGCTTTAAGACATTTTATATCTTGCTGAGCAGTTTTGAGTTTGTCGCCTCGGCCACTGTAAACTATGGAAGGGACTTCTGAAGGATAAAAATTGTACAGATTCCTTTGCCAAATCACAACAAATCAGAACAAATCTTCATAGATGATTCACCCATGACTGTGTAAATCACAAAGACAGCCATGAAATTCAGTATATGCATGTACAGTTTGAAAAGAAGGCACTTACAATAACAATGTTGATTGTATTTGTCAGATTGGATCGGCTATTTCTTTTTAGCATCAAAAACTCAATGAAGCTAGGCATGGTGGGACACACTTATAATCCTTGAACTCAGGAGGTAGAGAATCATAATCTCAAGGTCAACCTAGACTACATCATAAGACCCTGTGTCAGAGAGAGGGGGGGCAGCCTCAATCATCCTATCAGGGCTGGAGAGATGGTTCATTGGTTAGGAGCATTCACTGCTCTTGCTGAAGACCCCAGTTCAGTTCCCAGCACCCTGTCAGTGGCTTACAAGGACCTGTAACTCCATCTCTGAGGGGATCTGACAATCTGGTCTCCTCAAGCTCTTCCACTCTTGTACACTTAGCCACACACAGACACAAGTACATGTAAGCAGACTTTTCTGTACTGCCAGCCAATTCCCAAATAACCACACAGAGACTTGTTATTAATTTAAAGAATGATAAAAATAAGAATCTAAAAAACATCATCCTGCCTTTCAAAGTTGAGTAGCCAACTGACATTGGTGACAACATATCTTTTCTCCTGCCTATCCCCCTGGAGGTGGATGGGAGAAGTTACATTTTCTGTTTTAATCCACAATCACCTAACTCAGGTTCGCTGAGACATTTTCTTGTTTAAAAGAAATTGGAGCCTTTCTCATGAAATCTGCCACTGGCAAAATTTCACAGCTGCTGCTGCTGAAAGCCCTTTATATCTCCTAGGTGACATCATGCTAGGCACTTCCCTCTGCACACGTACGTCCTGCTCTAGAGAATATGAGCCTGTGCATCTCTCTGAAAGAAAGTTGAACCTCAAATGACATGCTTTGAGGTAATCATAACAAACTTGGGCAAAAGAAAAGCCAAGACCTCAAATCATGTTCTTATTCAAACAGAGGAGAAAGGGAAAAGAAAAGATGACAGGACATCATATAGACCTTAAATGGAAATTAATATGTCAAAGCCAGATTAAATACCATCAATGATTTGTCTCCAAGGAAACATGAAATGGAACTTTAAAAATTGAGGGAGGAGGAGCTTTGGTAGCCCATGCTGGCTTTGAACACACTCAATTATAATTGAGGATGTCCAGAAACTTCTGATCCTCCTGCTTCTACTTCCCAAATGTTGGAATTATGGGTATGTATCACGATGCCTGGTTCAAGATAAACTATTGGGTGTCCCTATTTCACTCCCTCTTTAAAGCCTCTTGACTTCCTGGGCCTGGAGTAGTAGGGCACATGCTGAGCAGGAACTAGGCAGTGACTTCAATCCCCACCCTAAGGAGACACTTACTTCTTGGTATTTATCACAACTCACCAATGGCACTGTTGGAAAGTTGTAAATAGTTTCTTAATGAATTTTTTACCAATGAATGAAGTCTTCAGAAAACAGTGTGACATGCTTGCAATTGTTTCCCTAGGGATTTGGGAAGTAATAGGATTGAAAATCTTCCACCAAACATATTTAAGGACCTGAAGGAGCTGTCACAATTGTAAGTCATTAGCTTGCCACTTCCTTTCTTGATCTTATTTTGTAATTGTGGTAAAGTATACATAGCAATGAATCATCCATCTGTTTCTGTACCATTGGATTACATCAAGATCTTCCATATTGTTGTTCAACTCTCACAACATCTGCCCCCATAGGTTTTTACTTCTTACAAAGCTGAAACCCTGTAACCATCCAGTTACTAACTCTACCTTTGCCCTGCCCCAGCCCTGGCAGCAGCTATTGTACTTTCTCTCTCCTGGGCATAGCTGCCATTTTCTTCCTATAGTTTCTTCTAGTTTGATAGCTTTACATGCAAGCATGTGATCCATTTGAGTACACGGTACAGAAGGGTCTGATTCTATTCCTTTGCATGAGGATATCTAGTTTTCCCAGCACTATTTGTTGAAAAGATTGTCCTTTCCTTATTGAATGCCTGTGTCTAAAGTTATCTGATTATGTCTGAGTGGGGCTGTTCCGGGGCTCTATAGTTGATCCCTTTGGTCTACATAGCTGCAGATTATTGTGCAAACCCTAACTTTCTTGTTCTTCTTTCAAGATTGTTTTTACTATTTGTGTTCCTTTGATGTCTTACATGAGTTCATAAACTTTAATAGGGACTGTGTCTTCCAATGCCACAAACAAGACTATCTTTCCCTTCATTGGTATTGATCTGGTCCATCTTCTGCTGCTATAACAGCATACCACAGCCTGGCTCATTTTTAAGCAATATAATTTTGTGTGGCTCCTGTTCTTGAGGTTCAGAAGTTCAAAAGTCAAGGCCAAATCCAGTGAAGTTTAATGTCATCCTCAGCTATACCTTGTCTCTAATAAAAAAAATTAGCATTTTCTGATGAACACTAATTCTGAATGTGTTTTATATATCTGCTGGTCACTTGTGTGTCTTCTTTTGAGAAATGTCTGCTCAGATTCTTTGTCTATTTCTCAATCAGATTATTTGTCTTTTTACAGTTGCATCGAGCTCCTTATATCTTTGTAGATATTAATTCATCACCAGATATATGCTTCGCAGGGGTAGGGATCTGGGTTCAGTGGCAGAGTGTGTCCTTACCCTCCCAAGAGCAAAACAAAGAAGTGGAGGAAAGGAGAGAAGGCTTTGCAAATCGTTTCTTCCATGCTGAAGACTTCTTTTATGGTGTGAAAAAGCTTTTTAGTTTAATGTGGTCCTCTTTGTCTTTTGTTGCTTTACTGTCTGCATTTTGGAAGTCCCATCCAGGCTTTTCCTGTCTGAGCTTTGGAAGTCACTGTCAGGCCAATGTCATGGAAATCTTCCTCTATGGTCTCATGTCTTCCATTTGAATCTTCAATATACTTTGAGCTGTACTATTTTTTTTTTGTAAATGTTTCAAATCCATTCAAAGTCAACAAATAAATTCCCATGACCTAAGGACAATAACTTATTGCTGTCTTCTTTCAAACAGGAATATTTCCTATAATCCAATCCAGAAAATTCAAGTAAATCAATTTGATTATCTTAGCAAACTCAAGTCTCTGTAAGTATATTCATATACAATTTTGCTCCAATACTAACAACATGTGTGTTTTATGTCTTTTAATTATGTTTCATTTCCAGCTCCACAAAAATATGAGTCCTTGGTTGACTACAAACAGATAGTTATTACTTCTACCTCAAGTATTAATAAGCTAAAAATTAAATGATAATGAATCTCTACATCTCTCTCTCTCTCTGTCACCAGGATCTTATACTGAATTGTGCATTTACACTCTCTGAATGTATGGGGCATATTCATTGCTCCATTAATTCTTTTTTCTTTTGGGTGGGGCGGCTTCAAGACAGGGTTTCTCTGTGTGTAGCTCTGGCTGTCCCGAAACTCACTGTGTAGACCAGGCTGGCCTTGCACTCACAGAGATCCACCTGCCTCTGACTCCTGAGTGCTGGCATTAAAGGTGTGCACCACCACCACCACCACCACCACCACCCGGCGCTCCATTAATTCTCAGTAATTAAGATTTTCAATAGGCATAAGTCCCAGTTTGTGTCTCCGTTTCTGTAATAAAACACTCTTAAAAACAACTTGAGGAGAAAAGAGTTTATTTGGCTTATAGGTTACAGTTCATTGAAGAGAGCCAAGGCAGGAACTCAGGGCTTAAAGCAGAACCCATGGAGGAAGGCTGTGTGCTGGCTTGCTTCCCCTGGCTCTCTCTACAGGCTTTCTTAAACAGCCCAGAGCCACCTTCCTAGGGATGATACCGCCCACAGTGGGCTGGGCCCTCTTACATCAATCATTAATCATCTTAATGCAATCAAGAAAATGCAATATACACACTGGCCAAAATGATGGAGGCAATTTCATCAACTGAGGTTCCCTCTTCTGAAGTATGTAAAATTGAAAACCAAGATTAGCATCCTTACCCTAAAATGGAATTTTCTACACTTACATAAATCATGCCTCCCACAAGACAAAAAAGACAATTCTATTAATGTCTAAGAATTGTCTTTAAAAGATAAGCCTCAGTTAATCTTATTTAACTATTCTACAGTAAAATAGCACTTTATTAGAAAAAAAGTATGACTTCATTAAAATGTCTAGAATATAATGTGTATGCACTTACTCTATAATATTTATGGAATAGTTAGCATGAATTAGGCATTATATCATGAACTGTGAATATTTTAAAAACCAAGATATACATGTCTCTAAACTGAAGAAGTGTTTAGGTAGGCTGAGTCTGAGCATTCTATTTAAAATAATGTTAACTTAACCCATTTTACTACATTGTCCTTCACAAAAATAATTATTTTATTATGCTGCAGATAACATATGTTCTCTTGATCATTACTTGGTATTTTTAGCAGCCTAGAAGGAATTGAGATTACGAATATCCAACAAAGGATGTTTAGACCTCTCGTGAATCTCTCTCACATGTAAGTAGATGTTTTCTTGTTGTTCACCTTGATTTTAAGCTTTATGTCCCCACATGTATTATATGATAACACACCCATACTAAATGCAAATGAAAGATTAATAATTTCTACTAATTTACCTCTGTATGCTTAGTATTTGTGTCCCTCTTCCATGTTGCAATGTTAACCCCAGAGTGATGGTATTATTAAAACATAAAGCCTTGAAAAAGTGATTAGCTCCTGAGGGCAGAGCCTTCATGAACAGCATTAGTGTCTTTTTAAAACAAAACTGAAAACCAGGGGTGGTGGTGCATACCTTCAGTCCCAACGCTTGGGAGGCAGAGACAGGTGGATCTCTGAGTTTGGAGCCAGCCTGGTCTATATGGAGAGGTCTAACCTAGTCAGAGCTTCATAGTGAGACCCTGTCTTAAAATTAAAATGAATTTGAGAAAGACTGGAGCTAGTGAATCATAGCTCTGGGTTTGATGGATTCCCAGCAAGTGGCAGGAGGAAGGGAGAGGGGGAGGCATGCTGGAGAGATAGCTCAGTTGGGGAGAGTGTTGTGAAGGTGTGAGGATCTGAGTTCACCAGCACCTATGTACGCCTAGAACCATGTGAGCCTGTAACCAGAATATTTGAGGTGTCAGAGACGAAAGATCGCTGGGGCTTGCTAGGTGACCAGCCCAGCTCTGGTTTCAGTGAGAGGGTTTATCTCAAGGGAATAATGAGAGTAACAGAGGGAAACTTCCTAACTTCTCCTTAGGTCTCTACCATGAATGTACGCACAAAAGAAAGAGAAAATGAGAAAACTGAAAGTATCAAACTTTAGGAATGGAAAATGAGGAAGGAAGGAAGGAAGGAAGGAAGGAAGGAAGGAAGGAAGGAAGGATCTCTTCTGTGCTGTCCACCCTGTGATGTGGTGGTATTGTGTTCCCCAAAATATTGTGTACTCTAATAAATTTATCTGGGGTCAGAGAACAGACAGCCACTAGATACAAAGGCTAGAAAATGGTGGCACTCACACCTTTAATCCTAGCATTCCAGAGATAGAAATCCCTCTGGATCTCTGTGACTTCAAGGCCACATTGGAAATAGCCAAGCATGGTGACACACGCCTTTAATCCCAGAAAGCCAGCCTTTAATCCCAGGGAGTGGTGGTAGAAAGCAAAAAGATATATAAGGCGTGAGGACCAGAAACTAGAAGATTTTGGCTGGTTGAGCATTCAGGCTTTTGAGCAGTAATTCAGCTGAGACCCATTCCGGATGAGGACTCAGAGGCCTCCAGTCTGAGGAGACAAGACCAGCTGAGGATCCGACGAGGTGAGATAGCTGTGGCTTGTTCTGTCTCTCTGATCTACCAGCATGGACCCCAATAACTCGCCTCAGGTTTGATTTTATTAATAAGAACTTTTAAGATTCCAGCTACACTGTGAGGACACAGTAAGAATGTTTCAGGGAGCAGCATTTCACTAGATACCTAATCTGCTGGCTCCTTGACCCTGAACTCTCCAGTGTGGAGAACTGAGAAGTAAATTCTCATTGTTCAAGCTCCCAGGCTATAGGGTTTTCAGCAGGCTAAATAGTCTTGGACATCAGTAGTCAAAAATTAACTCTAAAAGTTTCGAATTAGATGGATGGATTTTAGTTTTCCACATTCTGATAAAATTTTATGAAAAAATTTTCAAGTACCAAAAAACACAAATGTGAGAGGGGTCTACTCAGTTTTTCAAGACACTCTCATCTCTGATATCATTCACAGATGCTGAGTTTACCTAACAAACTAGTAATGTGTACATTTTATATAAGTGTCGCGAGATGAAGAAATAAGAATGTATATAAGTAACATAAAGCAATTAAAAACAGGGCTGGGGAAATGGCTCAGCAGGTTAAAATGCCTGAGTTCAGATCCTTGGGACCCAAGTAAAAGAAAAAGTGGCATGTGTCTGTGACCTCAGCACTCCTCCAGTGAGCTAGGAGGCAGGGACAGGAGGATCCACCCTGAAGCCTGCAAGCCAGATAACCTGGAATATGAAATGCAGCAACAACCAACAAGACAGATTGTGCCTCAAAAGCAAGGTGGGAGGTCAGGACCAACAGCCGGAGCCATTCTCTCTCACCCCCACACACACATCAGGGCACACATGAGGTTTCACTTAGTCAGGTATAGACACACATCTCACACACCACACACATACACATATGTATAAATTTGTAGTAATTATTTATTTCTACTTTTTAAGTATTTCTACATATAATATATATGTAATATATAAAAACATATTTTTTAAATTAGAAATAAATAGTTGCTACAAATCAATGAAGGTAGGAGAACTCTTCTCCAGCGATAATTGTCCCTCACGTCAGAGTGTGTTGGAGCTAATGCATGGATGAAATGGTACTTTTGCAAATTCTATGCAGTGTGTCTCATTTTGCATTAATGATAAGCTTTATACATATTTTGAGTTGACGGTCATAGCAAGTTCTAGACTGCTCTTCACACTGTGGTAATTCTCAATGATTCAGAAATGCCTTGTCATCCACACTGTGACCTTTCTTGTACTATAAGTCTAGCACAGGCCACTGTTTCTGTTCCTATGATTTCTCAGAGACCAGGCTTTTATAAGCTCCTTGGCTTGCTCTCAACATGACAGTCTGACCATGAAAAACTGAGTATATTTGAAGAAACTGATGTAGCTCACAAAATCTAGAAATAACTAAAAGAAGAGCCTGAATTGGGCAGGTATTGTTGGAACAAGAGTTGAACAGTGCTCTCAGTCAAACCCAGCTGAAAGAAGCCATTCACATGCCATCAACAAGGCTCAGGGTTCCTTGTCTGCTATTTGCCTACCCTGGGCTAGGGGAGGGTCTCCACTATATGTCTACCATGAGTCCTGTGGCTGGAGGATGGCTTCCCTCAGGGGAAATCAAGACACTATTGCTAAAAGATGAGTCTATGCTAAGCAGCCAAACTAGCGAACAAGTATCTGCTGGAGTTCTGTTAATGAAAGCAGTTCACCCCCAGACACTTAAAACAAAAAGAAACGTCATGTCCTTCCTTATACTCTGCCCTGCCCCAGCACAGAGAAATGCAAACAACCAGGTGGACATATCAGCAACTGACCTTGCCTTTGGGAAGACACAAAATGACTGTCTGCCTTGTATCCTTTACTACTGTAACTTTTTATACTATAGAGATAATTTCTAATTTTTTTTTGCCACCATTCTTTGCCTGTGAGGCAGACTGACACAGTCTGAATTCTAATCTCTACTATTACTAGAAAATTTCCTACTAAATAATTTTCCTGCATTGAAGATTTATCTCCTGTTATGGTGATGCTAACACTGATCTCACGGAGTTCATTAGAGACTTTATTTCTGATGTCTGAAAAAAAATGCCCATAAGTGGTGCTGGTGTTGCTGCCAACAGAACAGGAATTCTTGGTTATCCAGGTGATGTCTTTATCCAAGTGGGTTTTTGTAGATGAAGTAACTTACTCAACATTTAATTCTTCATTGTGTTTCAGAATCTACTGTGAGTGATAGATATGCTTAGAAGTTACTGATCATAATGTAATATTATTATAACTTCTGTAACAGCAAAGTGATGGGTGCAGCAAGGAGAAAGCATTTAATTTTTCCCCTAAGAGCCAGGCAGTGGTGATAAGGCAAGCTATGGTTATAAGAGTTTTATAACCATGTGTTTATATGGACTGAATTCTGGGAACAGCCACTGAAACCTTCTTTGGATAAATTCCTTCTCGTGTTCACAAGCCAGCCAACTATGCAAATTCTAAGACATGTCTAACATGCATTCATTACACTTGCTTCAAGTTCTTATCCACACATCCTTTTGCTGTAAAGTTATGTGGGTAAGAATTAATTTTTGAACTTCAGAACCATGAAGGATCAGTAAGAAATGTTTTCTATTCCACCAAGTCTTATATGAACACATATATTCTACTGAGAAAATGTCGAAAACAAATAGCGATGATGTTTAAGTTAATGTTAAGCATGTGCTATAATTGTGCCTTCTCTCTGTACACCAGCTATTTTAAGAAATTTCAGTACTGTGGCTATGCCCCGCATGTGCGCAGCTGCAAGCCCAACACGGATGGGATTTCCTCCCTTGAGAACCTCTTGGCAAGCATCATTCAGAGAGTCTTTGTCTGGGTTGTGTCTGCAGTTACCTGCTTTGGAAACATTTTTGTCATTTGTATGCGACCATACATCAGGTCTGAGAACAAGCTGCATGCCATGTCCATCATTTCTCTCTGCTGTGAGTATTTCCTGGTTAAAGAGGAACTAGGTGTGAAGTGTGCAAAAATGTTGTTGCCGCTAGAAAATAAATTCTGTGGGGCTGAAGAGATGGCTTGGTGGTGAAGAGCATATCGTGCTTTTCTAGAAGACCCAAGTTGGGTTCCCAGCACCCACATGTAGTGGGTTACAACAGCTTGTAATTTTAGCTCCAGGGACTTCAACACCTCTGGCCTCCAAAGGTGGGTGCGAGCATGTGCACATACCCACATACATACACAGATGTACACAGGCACAATAAAAATAAGACTAAAATCTTTTGAGAGAGAGAGAGAGAGA